TTAGTAATTAAAAAGTAACCAAAACAAGAAAACACGATAATTTTAATATATTATGTAATAAAGAAAATTGTTACTAATTTCATTTGATTCTAAGTTATTTAAAATAAAATTATTTCTTATACTTAAAACTAACAAAGAAATTTTAAATTTTGTTAATTGATCAATTTATAAATTTTTCTAGAGAAACAGAGCAAATAGAAATAAGCATAAAGGAATGATTTAAACCATATAATTTTGAACATTAACCGAAAAATTTACCATGTCTATTAATAATGAAATTTAATTGATTTAAGCGACCAGGAATTGCATCCATTTTACACTTAGTTCAGCAATGAATAAAATGACCACTTGAAACAATCAAATTAATTTTCATATATTGAGTGGTAAAAACTAGATCATTATTAGTTTTAAGTAATCTAAAATCAACTTAATTTAAATCTGCAGTATCTATCATATTAGAACCAAAATCTATATTTGGTGAAAAATTGGAGTATTCATATGATCAATATCATTGATGATGACTATTTGGACTGTCAAAGAAAGTTCAACATTTTCATCAATTAAGTACAATAAGCAGGTATTAATGTTCATACAATTTTAATAAAATTATTTTCTAACAAGAACTTATTAAAATTTTTGTCAGTATTCACAGAATATAATAATCATCCAACTAAAAAGAAAACTTTCTTGAAAAGAAAGTTGATTCACTTTAGGAATATCCCTATAGAGATATAGAATATCTCTATATCGATTAAATATATCAAATAGTCTTCAAAATTATTAGAATTGATTCGCATCCAATACCTACTGTTTATGAAAAATTTAATGTTTTTAATTTTTAAAATAAAAAAGTTTTTTCATTTGTTTTATATAAGACGAAGCGCTTTCTTGTTAAGAAAGTTGATTTACTTCAGGAAAATATCTATAAGCAAAGTTATTAAATAATAAACAAATGAAAAAACTTAATAAAAACATTAAATTTTTCATAAACAGTGGGTATTGGATTCGAATCAATTCTAATAATTTTGAAGACTATTTGATATATTTAATCGACCCTCTTTATTAAATAATAAATTTAAATCTTTAGATTCTTTCAGAAATTTTTAATATTTTTCTTTAATTAACTAAATGAAACTTTATTCCTTTCGTTCTAAAAGTCTAAAGCAATTTTGTAATTGTAGATAGAGACTTCGTGTTTTACGACGAAATGAACTCAAATCATGTAAGACTTTGGAGGTCAAACAGACCTCTTCCCTCAATAACTTCTGCATTATTAGGATATCTTAATTCAACATAGGTGACAAAATTTGTTTTTTAAAAGGACTCTGAAACAAAATTGTCCTGTTATCCCTAAGGTAGCTTTTATTAATTAATCGCTATCTATTATTTATTATGAAAACAGGTAATTATAGCCTATTATAGTAATTGTTTATTTAAATAATAGATCAATTTATTGTATTGTTTATTTTTGTTATTTTTAAAAAACTCAACTCAACTTCGAAACTATCTAATTTTAATATCTTTTTATTATTAAAAAAAAAGTTTCTAGAAATACTCTATCTCTTCGCCTTACAACTTTAACTAGCACTTTAACTATTAATTTTAATTTTTTTTTTCTTTTAACAGTGAAATATTTGTGTAACCATTTATTCTCTCCATCAATTATGACAACTAATCCCAACCGGCACATCTAGTTTCTTTTTAGGAATTAAAATCTGTATAGAGTTGTGTTTGTCACGATCCAGGCGTAAACTAAAAACACGTGTATATTACGGGTAGTTTTACTCAAGTTTAATACGTGTTTTTTTGAGGTTTTAAAGTCAAGTTTATATGTCGCATGCTTTTATCAGTGGTTTCACATTCCTTACTTTTTATAAATCAAATTTATTATAATATAATACTACGCTTCCATAACGGTAAAACCATTAGTATTATAACTGACATGGGATCGTCCATAAAGTACATTTGTTTGGAGGGGAAGAGGAGGTCTGCAAATAGCGTATATGAGATAGGAGGGCAGTGGGTCAAATATAAAAGTAAGGAGACTCTAAATTAAAAAACATATCATAAAATGTTGTGTAGGTAGGTTAAAAGCTCAGGTAGTTTTAGAAAGGTGGAGGGTGCTCAAAAAAGTGTGTAGCAAAATAAACGGGAGGGGGGAGGTTGAAATAAAAGCATACGTATTTTATAGACGACCGTAAAGTTCATACTTAAAGTTAATACCTCTATTTATGGTAAAAAGTATTAATTAATTTCACGGAATGACAACCATTCTTGGCACGTGTAATTCTTTTTGTTTTAGAAAGTTTTAAACACGCAACAGAAACCAACACTAACTTTTTTCTGAGTTGTGCCGGGACAGGTTTATTAATCTTTTTTTTTATTAAGTTTTTATTAAGTTTTTGTTAAACTTTATTTCAGACCATACGCAATTTATTAAGATCCTCGCCCCTTTAATTAATTTTGAAAAGAAAAGTTTGAATGGAAAATCTTTTTTTCTATAAGAAAATAGTAATAAATCTCTTTGATGTGTTTTCTATAAGAAAATAGTAATAAATCTCTTTGATGTGTGTTAATCGAGAAGACTTGATTACCTAAAAAGAACTAATTACCTAAGCACAATAATAACATAAGTATTTCTATCGTGACACATGCGCAAATGTTTTATTTTATATTTTAAAAAATCAAAAATTTTAAAATTTTAAAAGTGTGCCAGCTTAAGGATTTGATCCACAGCGATTTACTTTGCTGAAGTGAAACGCTAGGAGTTAACTACTTCGGCCACTAAAGCGTATTGTGCGATAAATATTTTGAAACTATTTAATGAATAAGACTTCATTGCCACAATGCAATTTTCAAGTAAAAGTAAAACAATAAAACTTAATATGATTTTTAACATTGCATAGTTTATGGTTTACATAAGTTAAACATTTGCATACACTTTCGTTCACATTTTCTTATGAAAAAAGTTCTGCAAGCTTTTCTCGCTATCTTGACTTGATCACCTAAAAAACCTGTTTCATCACAGTTCCAAATATGCGACCCAGAAGTTATACCAGCCTGTCGGTAATGCATTTAAAATAACGATCAATTGTTTCTGGAGTACAAAAAGCAGGTCTGTTAGATGCTAAATTCTCCGCTTTTCTTGTTCTAATTTCTTTTTACAATTTCTTCATATAAGAAAAAGATTATGATATTATTTAATATTATTCTTTTATATTATTTTATTTTTGGGACTTAAATACTTATTTATAAAATAAAGAAAAAGGAATCGTTCCCTTATATTCTAATCATGAGCGAAATAACTTTTAGATAAAGTCTGATCATGAGCCAAAAATCTTTTAGAAGATCTTAGATTTTAGAAGGAAAAAATTTAAGTTCTTAAATTTTTTCCTGTATAAACGTACTTTTATTATCATTAGTTTAATTATGTACTCAACTCGTTAATAAAAAAAGGAATGAATAAAATTATCTTTTTTTCTTCTACTCTATAAGATGATTATCCTCTCCAGACCAGACGCAGCACTGGCGTACCCCCATTGCAGCTAGCGCAGAGAGCCTTGCACCACAATACCCCCCACCCCCACATTAGGTAATTAATAAAGCATTTTATAAGTTATTTTATGGTTCATTTTTGGAGTCAAAATAGTTAGAAACACAGTTTATTTAATAAAATAAGCTCAAAGTTATCCCAGGTGTCTAAAGTGCTCTATTTACGACAAACATTTTTCAAACTAATATGAAAAAAATTAAATACAAAAGCAACTGGTAATTTCCCAGAAATAAAACAAATCTCAGAAACATTTTTGTGTTTGTACAAACGGTCTTTAAAAGCATTCTCTGTTAGTCCAATATAATTGAATCCGCTATCTTGTGGTGAAGTTTTTACGTTACAACAGTATACTATATTTTTTTGGGGGCATTTTACTTCCAAAGGGCATTCCGAAGTTTGTCGGCAGTTGCATAGAATGCTTTTAAAGACCGTCGGTACAATTACAAAAAACTCATTTCAATACGAAAGCAAATTCAAAAGAGCTTTCCAAGTTTATGTGTGGAAATTAAAAAAAGGGATAAACATAATCCTGTTATTACATGGAGAATCATCAACAAAGCGCAACCGTTTATACCCGGAAGAAAACCATGTAACCTTTGCCTAACTGAAAACTATCACATAACAACATCAAAAATGAAACTATTAAAGAAAAGAGATGAGCTGGTATCAAAATGTTGTCATGAAAACAAACTTTTTATTTCATTTTAAAAGAAGTTTACTTGTTGTATGCCGTAAAAAGTTGCTATTTAGATATGTAGTGCCGACGACACGGATTTCGGTGTGGCGGGGGGGGGGGGGAAGAGGTATGAGGGTGAAGCACAATTACCGATTTTTTTAAAAAGTCATCTATATGTTAGATTTTCTTGAAAAAAAAAATTGTTTATAAAATGATAATAATCAAATTAAACAATCAAATTAAAAATAAAATATTAAACGTAATGACTCATGCAAATAAATAGTTTAAGAACAGCATTTAAATTATTTGGAACAGTTTTCAAAACAGCTTGAGTTGTATTCTTTTAAAACCTTAAAAAGCTTTTTGCACTAAACACGCTTTTGTACTTCAAACGCAAGCAAAAAGAATGTTTTACAATATCTAAAAAAATTATGTTGAGATCGAATTATAATTAAAATATTAAATTTTTAATACACTTTAAACGTTAAACAATTAAACTTAAATATGAGAAACAAAAGAAACAACTTGTTCTTGCTATTGTTTTATATATGGAGTGGTGCGCCCAAGAATTTGATATTAAGGCGATAAAGCTCAAAATCAAAATTAGGGTCAGAAATCTTTTAGTATTAATGACGGTTTAATATTAATGTCGCTTTAATTATTTTAAAAGATTTTAAAACATTAAACATAATGGAGAAAAACCAGGTTGCCACTGATATTGTATTTCGCTATAATTACAATATTAGTAACACCTAATAAAGAGAACGTAAATTTAATAAAACGTTGCTAAAAAAATATATCTAAAGAAAAATAAAAAAAACTCATTAATATATAAACAAGCCAAACTCAAATTACATACATTGATATAAAAGAAATGCACGTAATAGCTAATCAAAAAGGTGGACACGCAGTTTAACTACCAACTTAATATATAAAGCCTCTTAATTCCACAATTTCCTGCAAATGTTTTAAAATGGTCTAAGCATTTTATTGCCACAGTTAATGCAGTTTTGGTTTTCACAATGTCCAGTGCATGCCAGGTTTGATAAAGGTAATGTTATCGAATCACAGCATATAACTGGAGGTTGAGGTTTGAAAGGTAAAACCATTGGAGGATCTGGTGGTGGTAATACAGGCATTGTAGGTGCTGGTGGAAATATGGTTTGTTGATTTTTAGTTTTACAACATGATTGTTCACAGCCAGGTAAACATATTAATGTACAAGTATCACATGGATAAGTTAAAGTTGGTAGTAGACGATCACGGTAATCTGAAATATGTATATTGATAAACGTGTTCTTTTAATTTAAAAAATATTTTAACAGTGTAAATGTATTTCAACACACAACACTGCACTCACAGTTTCATGCTGTTACCAACTCGTTGAAACTAGATTAGTATTTTTACTATCAGCGGCCGTTTGGCAACATCACAACATATTCACAGCAGTTCTTACGACAGCCAAAGCCACAAGAAGTTGGAGAGCAAGATGCAGGGCATGGAGGAGGAGGTGGAGGAGGAGGAGGTGGAGGAGGTGGAGGAGGTGGAGGAGGAGGAGGTGGGGGTGGAGGAGGAGGTGGGGGTGGAGGAGCTACACAAAGCATACATGGAGGAAGTTGGGCCACAAAGCAAGGTGGAGTACATGCTGGAGGAGGTGGTGGACAACAAGGTGGAGGTGGAGGTGGAGGAGGAGGTGGTGGAGGAGGAGGTGGTGGTGGTGGAGGAGGAGGAGGCGGTGGTGGACATGGCATACAGGGTGGGGGAGGAGGACAAGGTGGAGGACATGGTGGTGGAGATGGAGGACAACAGGGTGGTGGAGGAGGTGGAGGAGGCGGAGGGGGTGGAGGGGGTGGAGGAGGAGGTGGAGGAGGGGGTGGAGGAGGGGGTGGAGGGGGTGGTGGAGGAGGACAACAGGGTGGAGGAGGAGGTGGTGGAGGGGGTGGTGGTGGAGGTGGTGGAGGAGGAGGTGGTGGAGGACATGGTTGACATGGATTAGCAGATGGCGGTGGCGGACAACAAGCATTAGGTGATCCAGTTTGCATCTCAGGTTTAGCTTCAGTTGGAGTATCTAGCTTAGCTTCAGTTGGAGGGGAACTTCCACCTAAATATGTGAAGATGTTTAACGAAGTTGAAACAATCAATAAAAAATGTGAATGCAGTGTTTTGTATCGACAAAACCTGCTGCCATTCTATTAGTTCTAAAATTCAATATTATCTTTAATAAATTTACCTGTTGCTTTTAAGAGAGTTTCCACTGCTGCATTTGCTTTTATCAAATTGCCTAAAAATATTTTTATTAGCATAATTATTTAAAACTATTTATAATTTCTATTTAAAAAAAAATAAGAATTGTTCATGTATGACATCAGTTAATAATGTTGAACCATATTAATTTTGTTCTTATTAATTATTTTGTTTCAATATTATCTTCTTTCTAGATATAACACTTTATTTCATTTGATATATTTTAAATAAATACTTTTTTTATTTCATAAAATGTGTATAATAAAAGAAAAAAAAGCAAGAAAATACATATAAGATGCAAATAAAAACTCACTGATACTTTCGTCGAGCAATTTTTTCAAATCTTGCTGGTTACCTATTTAGTGTAATATTGTGATTTTATTACATATAATTAAATTTGTGATTGCTATAATAATATATTGTTAATAAATAGTTTAATAATATATAAAAATAATGATAATAATAAAAATAATGATAATAATAAAAATAATGATAATAATAATGATAATAATAAAAATAATGGCAAAAACAATGATAATAATATACGATAATAATAATAGTAATGATAATAATAATAATAATAAAAAAATGATAATAATAAAAATAATGATAATAATAATGATAATAATAAAAATAATGGTAAAAATAATGATAATAATATACGATAATAATAATAGTAATGATAATAATAATAGTAATAAAAATAATGATAATAATAATAATGATAATAATAATAACAGCAAAAAAACATTAAAGAAATCTTGTTATTTGTTAAAAAAATTTATATTAAACTTAAAACATAATAATACCATCCTCAGGCGACGGTTGTGGAGCTGCTTGCGGTGCTTCAGCTGGCGGTTGAGGTGCTTCGGAAGGTGGTTGGGGTGCTTCTGCAGGTGGAGCATTACCTTCTGAGTTAGAGTTATAGTCAGCTGGAGGCTCGGGCTCAGGCGCTTCTTCGCTAGCGGCAGCTGATGGTGTTACTTCTGGAGCACCAGGATCCTCATCTTCCTCAGAACCAGCGTTATCTTCAGGTGAACCTGTTTCCTCTGGATCTTGATTAACATTTACATCAGTTGTAGGCGCTATAAAAAATTTTAAAAGTATAAAAATATTTCAATATTTCAAAACTATCATTTCTATATCATAACTTTCTCATTTAACCCTTTAGTCTGCACAAGTCTAGCTTATATTTAATAAATCAGGTTTTTCTGATTAAATTTATATTTTACAAAAAAAAATGGAGAAAATTTTTTATTTTTTTTAAATGTTTCATTCTAAACTACCCCTTTGTTGTACCCTACTCTACTCCTTTATACTCTATTCTAGACTTTTGAAACTTTTCAAAAATAAATTTATTTATATTTGATAAAAAAAAAAAAGAAAAAATTTTTACAGTTCCCAATAACTTTAAAATAAGCATGATTTAGTTATTTAAGCATCATTTAGTTACTTAAACAAATAAAATTTATTTAAACTTAAAGTTTATTTTTATTTCAATAAAATCAGACTTTCATTAAAATAATTTTATAAAATATTTTACGTTTACATTCTTCATAACAATCCCTTTGGTATATTTTTATTGTTTTCTTTATAAATAGTTATAATATTCTGGTATCTATAAGTATTTATGAAACCCACTAAAGATTTCATTAACCCTCCATATTTTATGTATAAGAATTGAAGGTTACTCGAATTTTTCAAATTTTGCGCAATAATTTTGACAAATTCCTCGAACTGTGTAATTTCAATAGAAAACACTAGCTAATTTAAGCGTGCTCATATAATATGGAATTGGTATATTCAAATATAGTCAAAAATAAATGTTTTTATTCAGTGTTTTCTAAACAAAAATGAATCAGATTTCTAGATGTAATATTTTTCTTTATATTTCAACATTTGGGACCACAGACTTTTTTTGTATAAAAAGAATATTTTAACATAACACAAAATTTAGTTGAGTTTAAATTAGATGACCGAACTGCTCTTGCGAGCAAAGTTGAGCCAATCCACGAGCGGTTGCTTCCCATTCCAACCCACAGCCCCCTGCGACGTGAGCCAAGTGGCCGCAAACCAGCCTAGGTTGGTGCCACTCGCTTCAAGTCTCAGCCCGACAGACCCAATCTTTAGAGCCAATCCTTTTTCCGAATTTACGGATCTATTTTGCCGACTTCCTTTACCTACATTGTTCTATGGACCAAAGGTTGCTTACCTAGGAAACCTGCTGTGGTTTAAACTAATTTTTTGGGGACATAAATATTTTTTTGGGAGGGTTTTGGGAATGTATATAACATTTTTTTAACTAGTCTAAAAATTGGAATTTGTATACAGTATCTTGCTACAGAGATCTAAGATAAACTGAGATAAACTAGAGATAATCTGAATAAAAATCGGAGATTCTGATTAAGATAAGAGATCTGGAATAATCTGAGATAAACTAGATCTTAATACAGAGTAGGATGATCATTCACATTTATCACCAAGCAAAAATAATGAATACTTATCATGAAACAGAGGTACCAAAAAAATTTCTTTTAAGTCATGGTAAAGTTTTTTTTTAGCAAAGTATTGGGATAATATCATTGAAAAGGAGGCACCATTCAGCTAAACAAAGACAAGATTTTCTAATTTAAAACTTAAAAAAAAAGTACAACTTTTGGCTAAAGTTTTAAAAAGAAATTGGAGTTTAAAAAAATATTTTGTAAAATCAGAAGCAAAGTTTTCAACATTTCCATCAAATGAATTGGGTACATTTTTTTACTGAACATTAACCTTCAATGATTTCCTTAATACTTGAAGTATCAATATTTGGTTTAAATTTTTTAATTTTATCTTATAGCCGAGTAGAATTCATCTTTGTCAAACTTTTTGCAATCTGAACTATATAATTTTGAAACCTAACAGGATGAAGAATAACCTCTGTTTTTCTTTATTTTTTTCTAAATTGTTTATCAATAATCATATTCTAGTGTTTGGAGTAGAGGTAACAAGCAACCTTGCGATATACTTCGTTTCTTGCAAAATAAGCACATGAATATACTTTCTTTACTTTGGTTAGAATAAATTAAATTAGTTGGCTTTAATATTTGAACTAAAATTGAGATCTGTTTTTAAAAAACAGCTGCTCAATAGCAGCTATAACAGCATCGAATTTATCCAAATTATCTAACATCTACGCTAAGAAAAGACTATTAAAAAATAATTGATGCACTCTCAGTCCGGTCACCCAAAAAAGTTCAGGTTATTTTTAAAAATCTATCAACAACGGCCCGCTTATTTACTCTAGTTAAATAGTATAATTATGCTTTCATACTTTACTGGAGTAAAACCATATCTGTTAGTTTAAAAAATAATATTAGGAAAATGCGTTAGAAAAATACGTCTTTTACGCATAATTTGGCATCTAGCTATCAGTGTATACCATAAGGTTTTGTTCACCGCATATGCTGTTATTCGCTTCTTATATTTTTCATATGGAATGTATGCTATAGATGATATATTCCATAAACACGATGTCCATTTTAAAATAATTTATATAGCGAAGGCCCTACCATACGTAGCGTAATTCCATACCTCCGTGCATTTACTGATTTGAAGTTACTTAACTGCTGGGTAAATTGTTTTAAATTAATAAACTTATAGAAGTTAATAAGAGTTCGTTAGGAATTGTTAATATGCTGATATAAAAAAAAAAAAAAAAACACAAAGTCGAGGAGTACCAACAACTTTTATGACGGGCGGGACTCCGGGTATAAACAATATATACATATATATATATATATATATATATATATATATATATATACATATATATATATATATATATATATATATATATATATATATATATATATATATATATATATATATATATATATATATATATATATTGGTTACATGAGCATATCATTTTATATCAGCATATTAACAATTCCTAACGAACTCTTATTAACTTCTATAAGTTTATTAATATATATATATATACACACACACACATTTTATTAAACATTTAAATATTAAATACAAATAAAGACAAACTTTTGTCACAGCGCAAAACTAAAAAAAAAAATATTTATGCTAGTAAATCATTAATAAAGTAAAATACTATTATTATTATTATTATTGTTATTATTATTATTACTATTATTATTATTATTATTATTATTTATCTCTATTAATAGTTAAAATATAGACAGTAAGATTAAGGTGCATACTTCCTTAGCTAATTTTATATGTGCCTGGTAAATAAAGAAGAGTATGAAAACTGTAATGGTGAAGTCAAACCTCGTTATGAAATTGTCCGTCGGCTTTGATGCATTAATGATTTTTCCGTTTGGGGTATTAATGCTTCGAAAGAGCAAAAGTTATAGATGTTGATCAGCTCGATTAAGGAATAAAAAGAATAAGATTTGTACAAGGACTTTTCCTAGAATATTTACTGCTTTAAGTGCTGTAAGTAAATACAAAAGTGTTTGTAAAACACTTTATAATAATTATATGCAAAAAAATATGCAGATTATACTAATAGTATTAAATCAAATTTAGTTTAATGCAATTTTTTAATGACATATTGATTATTTATAAAACAAATAAAAGTTTCGAAAATGATTAAAATTTAATCCTCATAATTTATTTGATGGTTTAAAATGAAGTGTCTTGAAAGTTATTCATGGCTGTAGGAAGTAGGAGGGGCTTATTTTAAAAATCTTGTATTAATATAACTCCAACTTGAGTTACCTCATCTTCTACTTCTTGTATCTTAAGAATCCTTTTACAGTTTCTTTTTTTTCATCTGTATTTTTTCTGCAAGCATGGTCGCCTAATTGTTGTCATAGCAATATCTAAAACATTTTTTACGCTAACAATTATACTCTTATTTGTTTAACTGATTTAACTTCAATGTTAAACCAGTTAAGCATATGAAAACTAACAATAAAATTCACAATTATCTTGAAATCTGAAGTTTTTCACGAGTAAGGCCATGATGCAATGGCCTGCTAAATTGAAATATCATTTACTGTGACAGACTGATCCAATTTCTACAATTGCTAATCTGATAGATAGACCTCCTGTTTTTATTTTTTAAGAACTTTGTAATTTATAACTATTTGATAATCTTGTCGTTGTTGAAATATTGAGCAATGATGTCAATGATTTAAAAATTTGGATTAAACCTTGTGGATATCATTTAAACTGTTGTTAAGCAGGTATTACTTTTCGGGAAAAATAAAATCCTAAAATAATTTAGTTTAAATCTTACTGGGTTGTTGTTGATGGTAGTTATAGCAAAAGCAATTTTACAGAAGATTGAAAAAAGAACCCTTAATAGACCTTGTTATTTCATTCCGATCAACAACTTATAAAAAGATAAATGGTATGTTTATATATATATATATATATATATATATATATATATATATATATATATATATATATATATATATATATATATATATATATATATATATATATATATATATATATATATATATATATATATATATACATGGATCCGCGCAGAAATTTTCGAAGATGGGGGCAAAATATTTGTAGTAAATAACGGCAATATTATAGCAGTAATATTTTAATGATACAACGATTGTTAATGAGTTAACGTTATACACACACAAAAAACTTACAGCATTTATTTAAAACCAAATTTTTTTTTTTAAACAAGAATTGGAGTTGTCTGTTATTAATACCAGATATGCCAACAATTTTATCGATAAAGTCTTTTTTGTTCCAGTTTATTTTGCCTCTGTGTACTCATAACATGCACAAACCAGACAGACGATCATTTGACATCGTTGAGCTTTTTTTTAAATACACAACATAATGTGCTAAATGATTGCTTCGTCGTACATGATGTTACTGGTAAAGTAAGGCGTACCTGATACTTAGATAAAATTTTGTAAGTTGATAAAATCTTGGCTACTGTTGTATTTTCGAGTTTTCCAAAAATCAAACAACAACGCTTTTCGATTCTCGAAAAGCATTATTGGCAGCTTTATCTTCTTGCAGAGCATGTTCAGACAAGTTGAATAAATTATTCTGCGTTAGATGTGATGTACAACAAGTCATTTTAGCGCCTTTATCAAAAAAAAATTTCAAATACAGTCTACAATCTCAATTCTAAACGCATTACGTTGTTGGACATTTACTTTTTTCTTATATTTCTAGCGTAATATAAATCATTTGCTCCGCAAAACAAGATAATAGGATACAGCTTTTTTCTATTGTTTTCAATAATTCTTTTTACTGAAAAGAGTATATTTATTTAGATCTCTTATTGTTGATACTAAGTGTTTAGCATCTCGCTGAGCCCCATGATGCCATGCTAAGCTGGTGTGGTTTTTGGCACATTCAGTAAAATGTTTATACTTTGAGAAAAGATTAGTAATAAAGACACCTTTATTTCCTCTTTAAACTAGTTGTGAAAATAAAGCACTTAATACCCTAAGCACCTTTTTATCTAGGTGAGTATGATAACCATAGACTATACTAGGTATTTAGAAACGCTACCTTTGAAATAGTAGAGCGGATAAGGCTGGTAAGAATCAGTTAGAAAACAATACTTAAGGTCAATAGTAGATTTCGTGGTATATTTTACAAAGAGTCCAATGTCATAATCTAACCTAGTATTTCCACTTTAAGTTTGTCAGGTTCTGGTTTAAGAGATGCTGCTGCTGATGAACAAACAACATCTTCTGTTTCGGTTTTTTGTAGAGATTTTTATTAAATGGAAGAAGGAGGTATGAGTGCTGTCAAATTATTATTAATGAAATATTTTTTTCTTTAGTTGCAGTATTATACCATTTAGTTATTACTTATATATTTAGAAAATTATTACTTATATTTTTTTATAGTTCAGTTTATTAACATCTAACGTGTTATCTTTATGGATAATAAAACCACTAGTTTAAAGTTTAGAGAAAAGTTTAAAAAAAGCAAAAATATTTTGGTAAACAAAAAATTTCATTTATTGTTGATCTTTTTTATTTTAAGCTCATTATTTTATCATCGAATTTTTGTGCATAACTTGTTTTCAAAATTAATTTTATCAAAGTTCAATTACTTTTGTAGAAACTGTATTAACATTTTTGTCAATATTTTTACTTTGACTGTCCTGAAGCAGTTTTGAACCCTTGAGCAACTTTTTTCAAACCTAAATAATACTGACACATTACAATTTTTTCCCATAACCGTACAAAAAAGTAGTTAAATATTTTTCCGAAACCGTAACATCATCAGAAAATAATTTTTTTTATTGAAAACGTACCGCCAAAGAAATAAATTTAATTTTACCAAATCGGTATGATAGTAAAAAATTTTTTTGCACTCAGAATAGTAAGAAACACAATACTTGTTTTTCCCTTGCCCCCCCCCTCCTTCCGGGTGTATATAAATATATATATATATATATATATATATATATATATATATATATATATATATATATATATATATATATATATATATATATATATATATATATATATATATATATATATATATATATATATTTATATATATATATATGAATATACATATATATGTATATGCATATATATATATATATATATATATATATATATATATATATATATATATATATATATATATATATATATATATATATATATATATATATATATATATATATATATATATATAAATTGTATGTTCATACTTGATTCAAATGAGAATGTTTTGTAAAAAACCTCGGTAATGGAAGTCTCGGAACAAAAATACTTCAAAACGTTTAACTACTCCCCAACTCAAACGTGTGGGCAGTGCAGTGATTTAATAAAATCTTCAACTTTATTATCTTAAACTAAATTTAAATTCATCAACAGGTTTTAACATTCATTAAAAAATCTTTCAACGTTCTAAAGTTATGATCATATACAAATATTTGCCCCCCTCCCCCACTTCTTCCAAAAAGGAGGGGGATGTAATATTTATTTCGAGAAGCAGTGACAAATTCCAAAACTGCATACAAATACTAATACTAAAAATGTTTAACTTTATCTTTATTATACCATTTGAATGATTATAGCAATTTTTAAATTGTATTTTTTATTTTATTGATTAATGCTATTTAAGATTAATTTAAATAATAAATTAATTTTAAACAAGTTTTATTTATGTTGGAACTTAATTGAAATAAGCTTAATTTTAAATAAGAATTTTAAAACTTTACGATTGACTTCTTTATGCTAGGTATAAAATTAAACATTTTGCAAGGTTGGAATTGTTTTGCCTCTCCACTTTTTTTTAAATTTGAGTGACATGAACCTCAGAATAAAGTTTTCTACTGTTTTAAAGCCAAAGTTATAAATGAAAAAACTGCGGAGAAAATTACTTATGTTTTCAAAACCAAAAATTCTCCTGAAGTTTTTACTTTTTAAGTAGTTTTATCTCCTGAAGTTTTTACTTTTTAAGTAGTTTTATCTCAGAAATCAAAAAAGTGGAAATATAACAAGAGAATTCAACCACGCGATTTATTAAAAGTATATAAAACCAACCTTCTTCATTTTCTTCGCCAACTTTTTTAATAGTGTCTTCGGTTTCTTCAAGATCCGCTCCTTTTTTCTTATCTTTACTTTTACTTGACGGGTTTTTCTTTAATTTTTTATTTGATTTGTTTATAAGGATTTCCAAAGTTTTATGTTTTGGTTTTTTTTTAAACAGAGCAGTGTCTGACTCTTTCGTATCTTCATTATCAAGAGATTCATTTTTTGGTAAAACACTTTTTATTTCTTCTAAATAAATTTCGTCATCTGATTTGGATTTGTCGAGATTTAATTTTCGTTTTACATTAGACTTTTTATGTTTTTCCTTTTTTTTAAAATGTTTTACGGGTGTTGATTTAGCGATTGGTTGGTTTTCGATTGGTTCGGTATCTAAAATAATACAGTTATATTTGTAAAGAAGAACTTTTTTTTTTTCGAAACATCAATTGCTTTATTGTAGCATATAACTGATTAAACCAAAATATTTTTGTTAATCTTATACAAAGAGATCAAAATTTTGTTAATATTATGGCAAGAAATCAATTACTTCAATTACTGAATACAGCAACTTTTCTAAAAAAAAGTTTTTTAGAAAAGTTGCTGTATTCAGTAATTGACTCTTTAAATGAAAAAAATAGTATTATATATAAGAAAAAAGATTTTTATATAATAAGACTAATTGAAAAGAAATCTGTTTTTTTTGCTTTTATTGATATTTTAATGTAAAAATGTAGTCTTCCAAATATATATATATATATATATATATATATATATATATATATATATATATATATATATATATATATATATATATATATATATATATATATATATATATATATATATATATAGGCGCGGATGCAGCATTTTTTAATGTTTGAGATACCTAACTTCCAGACATGGAACAAACTCCAAAAATTTATATTTTTATACTTATACCAAATAAGGATGTCTTGCAAAAAATTGCAATAATTGGAGCCTGGGAACAAAAAAAGTCCTAAAATTTTAGCTACACCTGCCCCAAACGTGAGAGCAACAAGTTGATGAAATATTTTTTTTACTATTCATAACCAAGTTTATATTCATCGATAAATTTTAAAACTTACATAATAATCTCTTAGCGCTTAACAATTATAGCATTTTAAAATTTGCGACCCCCTCAAATTGAGGGGGGCTCAAACTTTTTATGATCATAGTTTTTGAACGCTAAAAGATTTTTGTGTGAATTTTAAAATTTATCGATGAATATAGATTTAGTTAAGAATAGTATAAAAATTATTCTATCAACTTGTTGCTCTCACGTTTGGGGCAGGTGTAGCTAAAATATTAGGGTTTTTTTGTTCCCAGGCTCCAATCATTGCAATTTTTTGTAAAGCATCCTTATTTGATATAGATGTAAACACATAAATTTTTAAAGTTCGCTCCATGTCTGGAAGTTAGGCATATCAAACATCAAAAAATGCTGCATCCGCGCCTGATATATATATAATACAACATGTTTTATTTAACTTACAACTACTCTTAAAAGTAAAAACTTTTAAAACTATTTTATAAATTATCGCATATATATATACTCAATTGTAGTTTAGAACTATTCAGTAAGTTTAGTGGCGAAACAATACTTACATAACATACAAATAACACACACCTGATATGACATTTTTACTTGCTTCTGTTACTGCGTCGTCGATTGCTTTATTTAATTCTTTACTTGTTTCTTCGACAGTTTGGCCGTATACTGATCGCATTGGGGCAGCTGGGTCATTGTAATACGGGTGATTGATTTTCATTTCTTTGACTTTATTTCTTTTAAGTCCTAAAAACACCTTTATTATATTTTTTTAACTAAATTAATTGCCGTATTAACTATTATAAAAACTTTAATTAGCTCATTTAATTTATTTACGTTATAAAGTTCCCATCACCATACCGAAATACATAACAAAATATATTTTATAAAAGATTTTGCTTAACAAATATATTGTTTTCGAGCAAAATTAGCAACATGTTTTTCTATTTTATTTATATTGAATTTAAGTTAGAATTATCATTTTAAACGAACGAGAAATTTCTTCCTTACCAAAAAGTGTCAAAACTATTTAAATAATTATCTGACTGAAAAATATATAAATATTTTTTTATATTATTTTCAGTTAGAAAAAAATAAAATATTTGCTGATATTTTGATATATTTTTCAGTTACTTTGGTATTATCTCCCGAAGATTATACAACCTTATTGAAACAAATTTTCGTGAATCAAAGCCAAAAAGTTATTTGACATTTGCATTTATAATTTATTAACCTTCTTATATTTAAATTTATAAAAATCTGAATAAATATTTAAATTTTTTTCTTATGCTATTTTTCCTAAACTAATTTATTTTAATTTCATTTACATTAAAAGAGGAAGAGGTTAGACATCTAAAACTGAATCAAATCACATAAAACTTTGCAATACGCAATCAGTTAGATTTGTGTTAACATACCAAAGGCGTGGATGTAATACTTTAGTGTTTGAAACTTCCAGAAATAGAGCAAACGTCAAACATTTATATAATTTATGCTCATGTCAAATAAAAAACCAAAAATTATTTCCCCTCTTCCTTACTAAAATATGAAAACAATAAGTTTATAAAACAGTTAGCTATCACAGCCACTAAAAAAAAGGCATAGCTTATTATGAAAAAGAGCATTTATCAACTTGGTGCATTTTTAACCTTGTTAACTGCAATATCTAATTTGTTTCCGTTCTTAACTGAAGCGTAGTTTAGTATGTAAGTTTACATTTAACATTAGTCTTCCGAAGATTTTAGAGAGGATGACCTTAAAACAAGAAATTACATACAGCAATTGTAGTATATGCTAGAGCTGGCCGCACTACTTGTTAACAATATATAGCTAATAACTATAACTAAAAGAAAAACATTGCAAAAATGAAAATGCAGTTCGTTTAATACTATTTTTTTAAAAGTTCATTGTTGTAATAAACAAGCGCTCGTTCCTACTTTTAACTAATTTTTTCCCGGAGCTGATTCAATGCGTTAAAAGAAAGATTATTTTAATTTCGTTCCATTCTTTTATATACGAGTAAATGTTTAGGGTTTGATCTTGTAATCAGTTAGCATCTGCGTTTTATGGTGACCTCTTATATAAGTTATAGCCTAAATAGACTATATTTAGGCTGTAGCTTATATACGAGGACAAGCACATGGTATGACCTTGAACAACACTGCTATAAAAAATATCTTTTTGTTGTTTTATTTATTTTTTTCACTACGGTGATATCAATTAAATCAAGAAAAGGTTATAATTAGAAAAACGACAAACAATCAAAAAAAAAACACATACCCGATATTGATTTGCAAGAGTTTGGCGTCACAAAGAGCACAAGAATAACAGCAACAATTGCTACAAACTTCATTCTGAAAATTCAGAATTAGATTTATCATTAAAAAAATTTCAATGCCTGTGTTGATTTTTAAGGTAAAGATGACATAAATAATTTGTTACACTAAGTGTAAATGAAAAGAAAGAATCACGAAGAATAATTTAAAGGTCATGTTTTTGGAAAAAATACCTTGTCAGCTTTTTGTGTTTCTCAGTACCTTTGCGACATCAAAAAAACAATTTAAAATGACTATATAACTAAAAAGTTTATTAGATAAAAAGTAAATTAACTATTAATACGAAGGTTTATCATCCTAAATGTTTTTTTTAATAATTGTTACCTTCAGCACAAAAGAATCGAGGGCAGTAAACCGTGCAAATGTGTTCATGGGTAAGATAATCCAGCACATGAGTCAAATTAATGATAATAATATTCAAAAAAGGAAAAGTATGCACTTCAAAAGAAATAATTATTTTTAAAACAGCTTTTGATTGTTGTCACGTTTTACTTAAACATTAAGAGAGAGAAACAACTTTTATCTACAATTTTCTTATTGTTAATATTTTTTTAAACAAAATCTACGTAAAAATAATAAAAAAAATATATGTATACAATTTAATATAATAATGATGTATTTTACCTAATGATGATCTGTTTTACATAATAATGATGTATTTTAACGTTTCAATACATACAAATTTTAATAGAAGTAAATAAAAACTTTTTTTCTGTTTTTCTTTTATAACAATATTATATATCTTTTATAAACGCCCAAAACATCAAGGCCATAACTAAAAGGGGTGGACGGCTGAGTAAAGTTTTTTTGAAAAATGGGGCAAAACTTTACTAACTTTATGATTTTGCTTACTTTTTCATTGAAAGTATTGATGCCTCAAGCTTTTTAAAAATTCTTAGTTCTGCCAACTATAAATACACAATAATTTGCAAAATATATTTTTTCTTTCATTTCTTCGATACTTTTTTTTTTCGTATAATCATAAAAACTTCTGTGAAATTGTTTAGATGTTGTGTAGTTCGGATAAAAATAATGTGCAACACGGAAAAAAATATTGCGCAATTCGGAAAAAGGTATTGTACAACTCGGAAAGAAATGTTGTGCAATTTAGATAAAAATTAAGGTTTTGACTAAATTATATTTGATATAAGTTTACTAAAAAAAATAGATCTAAAATAAAGTTTATATAAATGTTTAAAAACATATAATATATACAAACATATATTATACACAAAATAAAAACATGAACAGGTCTTAAATAATCTTTAAACCATAAGTAATTTTTCATGACAATATGTCAACATCTTTTAAAGATAGAGGTTGCCAGATGTTCTGCTTTTACAAAAAACCAAATGTCCGGCTTTGAAACCGTATAAAAATTTATTTTTACAGTGGTGGCTGTTTTCTACTACGTAAAAGCCGGACATCTAGCAACCCGAAAAATACAGGTAGTTTTCACGAACTTCACGGAAAAAAAAAGTTGGACGAATAGTCTACATCTTTTATTGCGACATAATCAAACTAAATCAATAAATTAAATTAATTTTCACTTTGATAATAACTGTATATATACAATCGTGCGGAATATTTACAAACAGTTTTAAACTGATGACGTGTATGACTTATGATGGTATAAATTATAGCATATTAATATTAATAATAAAAGAAGAGTTGAAAAAGAAGAAGTCCTAGGAGAGTTTTATTATGTATCAAAATTTTTTAAGCATAATATTTTAAAAGAAAGTAGAAATATGGATATATGCATTGAAATTAAAAAATAAAAATAAATACAAATATATATACTATAAAGAATAACTAAACAGGGGCGATTACTTAAAAAATAGTTCAATATTTTTTTATTATTATTATTACTTGTTACATGGTTTTATAACGATGCCACAAACTTTACAGCCATATAAACTTTATAGAAAGATGAAAATAAGGTAAATTTTATTGAGACTAAGCTGAATATTTATATGCTTTTTTATTTTATCTTTAGAGTTTTATATTTTTATTTTTATTTTATGTGTTTTATACTTTTATTTTATTAAAAAATTAAATTTTTTTTTTTCTTTTTTTTTAATTTGATTTAATCTCAACAAAGTTGCAAGCAACCACTTTTAAGTTGGAACTTACTAGAAAAAAAAGAATAGTTTTTCAGAGCATAGAAAGACAGAAGACGTGAAAAGTTGAAGGTTTTATGAGTCAGGAAAACATGAAGATGGAAGAGAGTTCCAAAGAATTAAAGTACGAGGAAAAAAACTGGACAAACAAAAGTTTTTAGAGAATACAAGTACAAATACAGTAAACGAATGAGACTTTGCTGAATGGCGGGTCAAACGAGAATGAGTTTTAGTTGATGGAGCTAGAGATAATAGCTCCTTTGAGTTGCGTCCATAATAGTATTTTTAAAAAAGAGAAAGTGATGCAACTTTACAAAAATAGGAAAGAGATTTATGCTTAGGAGATAGAGTGGGTCCAACTATGTTTACCATGCATTTTTGGACCTTGTCTAAAAGAGAAAAAGCATAATTAGAAGAACCACCCCAAATATGACAATAGTATTCCATGCAGGGACGAATAAGAGATTTGTAGAGGTTTTTTTGGAGTTAATATTTGAAAGCCACAATGAGCCCCAATTTGTTAAAGAAGTGAGATCAGATTCAAGATCGGCTGCCTGTTCTAAGCGATCGCCAAAAGAAGAACTTTAGTCAAGGCAAGAGTATAAAGTTTAAAAAAATGATCTTCCTAACAACCTTACATCTAAAGTAGCAAAAACAGCTACTTTAGATGTAAGGTTTTTAGGAAGATCATTAATGCAGATAAGAAACAAACCAGGACCAAGGATAGAATCTTGAGGACCCCCAGAAGTTACTAGAAATAAAGAAGAGTGTTGGCCTTTGAAGATGACTTTAATTGAGGGGTCAGAAAAAATGCTTTGATGATCGCAAAAACTTTCCCAGATACACCATATGAAACAAGCTTATGTAGAAGACCAGCATGCCAAACTTTATCAAAAGTTTTAGATACGTCAAGAGTAATAGCTCTAGCTTCTCCACCTCCATTTAATGCATTATAAATATTTCAGTAACAGGACTTAGCAAGTCGATCGTAGAGCTTACTTGCTAAATAAGCAAGAGGATCGAAAACCGTATTGATTGTCTGACAGTAAGTTATTTGAATCAAAATAGTATGTGAGAAATTTGTTGATCAAAGATTCAAAGACCTTGTTAATAACAGAAAGAAGACTGATTGGACGATAATTGGAGGTCAGAATATTCACCTGAGTTTTTGAACATTTTTGAGTTGGAACAACAAATTCCATTTTCCAGCAGGCAAGAAAACAAGACTTAATCAAGCACTGATTAAATAGTTTAGAGAGATTTGAGAAAGAAGAGAGTTTTGAAGAAAAATTTTGTAAAACTATGGCAGGAATGTTGTCTAGACCACACGCCGTAAAAGAGTTTCATTGAGATATGACTTTAGCAACGGAAGCTGGAGTAATTTGAATGTCTAACAACGGGTTAACCTGTTTAATTGGAATGGAAGGAAGAGAATGACCATAATATTTGAGAGTCAAATTAGAAGAAAACTTCTTTGCAAATAGTTCTGTCTTATCCTTGGAAGAGGTAATAAGATCAGTCCCATGAATTAGAGACGGAATGTTAGACGGAATGACCACCCTTTGTTAATCACGCTGTTTAAGATTTTCCAATAGTCTCTAGAGCCTAACTTCTGAGATACAAAATTTAGTGAACTAAGAATAATGGAGCTTAGTATCAGACATCACCTTTTTACATCAATTTCTTGCAATGAATAACTGCTGTTTGTTCTCTAGAGAGTTGTTATATAGCAGCTGCACAAGAAAACCATGGAGTTGAAATAGGTTTGACTCGGAACCAATCAGAAGGAACAAAAGCATCCATTCCTACCTGCATCCAGGAGGTTACGTAAGAGATGCATTTATCAGCTGAGAGAGAAAAGACATCAACCAAGACAGACATAATATAGGGTGAGTCTGAAAAGGAAGTAAGAGATGCAAGATTTAAAAGAGATCATTGCACGGTCAGAATCATCTAATAGAGGAAAAGGAAAAACTAAACACAAGCTAGGCCATTCCGTGTGATTAGCATTAAAGTCACCAATAACAACAATATTAGCAGAGGGGTGAAGAGAGAGCATGGTCAATTTGATTAGAAATTACATCTAAAAGAGCGCAGTCTTGGGAAGAAAGAGAACAATAAAGAACAAAGAGAAAGGTGATAGTGTGAACTGGTGCTAAGTGGAAGCACCTAAAAAAATGGTCAAAGGATTCGAACCTGATTTCACAACAAACAGGTGAATTGATGCGTATGTATACCCCTAAGCCAAGCATGTGACTATTGGAGTCTTTTCAAATCAAAGGATAGTATCCATCAACACTGAGATATGAAGAAGGAACAGCTAAATTTGAATTCGTCTTACTAAGACCGAAAAAGTCTTTACAGACCACAAACATTTTTAAAAAAGATATTAAAACAGTTAGGTGATGGGGATGGTTTTTTTTAGGTTAGTTGGCATACTTTAGCATGGTTTAAGTTTAAAGAGAACTCAACTCATTTATAGATAGAGCACAGACTCTTAAGCAATAAGCTATCAATTCTTTGAAACAAAAAAAAGTTTTTTCTAAACATCTAAATTTTTAACTCATCTTGTAACATAAATGTTAGAATATAAGAACCTTTGGTATATTCAATTTGTAAAATTGGTTTTTGCTTTGGTACACCAAGGTAAGAGGTTCTGTTCGCTTTGCGCTGATTTTCATTCATTTTATAAAATCTTTTATTATATCTAGCACATTTCTTATTTCAGGTATTTTGCAAATTTATTCTATGGTACGCGCAGTGGGTGTATATTGCTTCTGGTTGAATGATCAGTTTGCTTAATTATAACAAAAATATATTTGACTCTCACACTTTCTCTCTCCAACTTTACAAATGCCACAAACTTCTCGTGTATCTTATGCTTCTTATCAACAAATCTTAGTATAAAGGATAGTTGCTGTGTGGTGAGAAAAATATTTTTTCCTTTATGTCTTTTATTCGAAGCTTGTAAAGAAATTTAAAAAAAGATACGAAAAGACAATGACGCCATCCTATCTTCTGGCTTATCTTCTTCACCCTTATTACCTAGATCGAGTGTTGAATGAATTTGAAAAAAAAAATATATAATATATAATAATATATGATATGAAAAAAATACTCAATATGAATATAAAAGATCTGCAAAAGATCGACTTGCTCATCTAGAATCTATTGTATTTGATGCAAAATAACAGGTGTAGTGGAAGTGTGG